CAAAGAATATCATGATTCACTACTTCCACTCATCTATGCTGAAAACAAATCAATTTTATCATTTCTTAATTTATATCACTTATAAATGTTTATAATTACATGTTTTTAATTTTTCACTCATGAAAATATTTTTTACAGAATTTATAAATTATTTTTAAGATTCAATCGTCCAGACAACTAACATTTCAGTCGTCCAGACAACTGAAAAGTAACTCAGCCCGACTCAGACAACTTACTGGGGTTATATTCGTAAAAATGTCTTCTGTTTTTTTGTTTGGTCACAGAGGACTATATTGTAATTTCATAGCCCTTTTAGGTTAGATTTGCATTTGATTCAAGTTGGGGTCTAGTATTGGAGTTAAAACCAAGTTGTGGGTTAGTTTTGGCAAAAACCCCTACTTTTTATTTCCATATCATTATCAACATTGTGGCTGAACTTTTATTCCAATATGTAACTTTAAAAAAACAATCACATTTATTTAGATAAAATAACTTTTGATTTATTTTTATATCATGCCGTTTGGTCTTTGTGACTCTAGTTCATTTCTATCTAATTAAGTGAAGATTATATGAATTTTAGTCATTTTATGAATCTATTAGGGTTTCTATAATGTGAAAAAAACTTGCAAATCGTTTTCAACCTCAGCTGCTTTATTTACATTTTTCCAGAAACTCTAAAATTACTTTATCATGTAGAAATCCACAATGAGAAACAAATCCTGCGGTGATGGTCGGAAGGTTAGATGTTCTTTTTCCACATTCTGTTTCTATTTATTTAGATAAGATGAAATTATTTTCAAAAGTAGTGCGTTTCTAGCTCTAAATCCATGTGTACATATATTTAAAAATTAGATTAGTCGATTTTCCTCTTAGATCAATAGATTCTGGATCTAGAAATTGTTTTCTAAATCTATACTTTGATAATGAAGATTGTATATTTTACTTGTTTTTTTTAGGTCTGGCTTGTTCTTCTCCAAACGATGTTAAACCGATCGTTCGTGGTATTTACTATTTGACTAAGATTTGATTTGATCACTGATAATCGTTTTACAGATTTGATAATGGCAAATATCGTTTCTTATATAAACAAACCAAAACAATCAGCTAATCCAACCTCACCATACCAACCAATCATCTGAACCAACATGCTACTCGGCCAAACCAACCCAATCCGGCGGTGATGGGTGGGAAGGTAAGATGTTTATCTTGCAAAAGCTATTTCTAGTTGTTTAGATAATATAAAACTTTTGATACTGCCAAAATAAGTGTCTTTCGAACAGGGCCGGCTTACATGAGGGACAAACGGTACCCCGGGTCCAAACTCGTGTCCCCTGATTTTACTAATTAAGGGATCCAATATTTTTTATATATACATATTTTTTATTAAAAAAAATAAATATTTATAAAATTTAGTTGAAAAGGGGTCCTAAAATATTTTACATGTACATAATTTATTTTCATCCCAAATTTTATAAAGATGTTGATGATAAAAAAAATTATAATATATTTAAATTTTTAATAATTGTAGATATTAAAAGTTTTTAATTTTTTTAGAGGCCTAAATAAATGTTGAGCCGGCCCTGGTTTCGAATTCTAAGTCCATGTGTTAGAACTAAAACCAAACCAAAACTTCTATGTTCATATCCCAATTGGCCACTAAAACATAAAAAAAGATATTTGTTCATCTGTATTTTTTTTATCTTTAAATTGGCCTATAAAACTGATGATTAGGATCAGTGCATGTTAGTCATGTTCTTGTTTAACGGATAAATAAAGTTTGGTAATTGTTTTGTTGCTTCTCATATAATCCAATAGAAAAAAAGTAAATCATCCGTTTATGGAAAATAACATGCTTTCGATTTTATCATAAAAAGATACTCTAAGCAGTAGCTCCAATGAGAACATTCTTGAGTCTTGATGTTCCGTACATGGTTTCTTCGAGGCGGATGATCTCGTTCTTTGAGCCATAAGCAATTTGAGTTCTGTCGTCGAGGTTGACGATGGTCTTGTCGAGCACAGACTTGTATCCACCGCTACTGAACCCACCAGCATTCTCAATGAGCAGACAAAGAGGAGCCACTTCGAACAAGAGTCTCAACTTTGCCTTAGCCGTAGGAGAAGTCACGTTCGTGAAGACTCCTTTCTCCTTCACAATAATCTGCATGCCACACACGAAAAATAAGTGTTCAAATAAAGTTTCATTCACAAGTAGAAATTTGGAATAAAATAGTTGGATCTAAGATTTAAGGAGTCATTAACATTTTTGAGTTAATTGTGACAGAATTGTTTTTCCACAGTTCAGCAAATGTTTCATAGACTATGCCTAGAACTAGCCTTAAGAACAAACCTGGTTAACGTCAGGAACCATTCCTCCTGTGTATCGCAGTGTGTACTTCTCTTTCACGTAGTAATCAGTCAGCTGATTTTCACATTGAATAAGAAAAACATTCAGATATTTGTATAGATTGGTGATTAGATTAAATAAGAATATAAGCAAGAACCTTGCTGTACTCAGAATTGTCAAACGTGGCTCTCAAGTTTCCTAGTGAGAACATTTTCCCTTCCTTGAATCTCTGTTGTCTCCTTAACATGCTGCCATTTCCCTGAGAAACATTTTAAGCTTAAGTCTAAACCCTACCAAAGAAACATTTTGATTGGACCAAAAGCAGAGGAGTACCTTCATCAAGAAGCAAGAACTCATGAGTTCCTGGAAACCCTTTAACAGCCAAAACATAAGTGGTTCTTGGACCATAAATTCCCATAGCTGCAGCCACTTGATCACCTCCCGCGACTCCGGTTAACTTATGACCAGGCCAAACCCCAAATATGGTTCCCACAGTGAAGTTTGTATCCACAATGCTTGATCCATCCAATGGATCAAATGCCACACTAAACCCACCTTCCGCTGGACCTCCCATGTCTTGAAGCTCAGGTACTTCTTCAGAGCATGCGTACTTACACACATGCGAGTATTGCAAAGCCTATAAAATTCAAAAAAAAAATACAATATCAAACTCCAATGGTAATTTTCCGAAACAAAACTTGTGAGAAAAGTTAGTGAAAACCTCAAAGAGAAGTTTATCTGCGAGCATATCGACAGCAAGTTGTTCATCACCAAAGGTGTTGAAATATGCCTTGAATCTGCGAGCTGACAAATCGATCGAGACAGGAGTCACGTATCGGTCGATCTGACCCGACACATATTGGTCGATGCAAGAGTTAATGTATCGGTCGATATGTGTCAAATCCAAGAAATATGGAAAGTTTCATTAAAGACTTTCTTATATATATCTTTAGGGTTTTACCCTAGTCTGTAGACACGAGTTGTACTCTGAAAAACTAGCCTCCACTAATAAAGTACTCTCTTTACCCGTGGACGTAGCCGTTAGGGGCGAACCACGTTAAATCTCTGTGTCTTTCTTTTCTGTTCATCTATTCTGTTAATCTGTTTCTTCTCACATCTGTCACAACAAACTGGTATCAGAGCTTCGGGTTGAATCTGGTGAGAAGATGTTTGGGATAAACATAAAGATCGAAAATTTTTCTGGAATGAACAGTTTCAGTCTCTGGCAAATCAAGATGAAGGCGTTGTTGAAGCAACAAGGTCTTTGGGCACCGTTGTCAGGGAAGAAGGTTGAAGCTGTTACTGCTGAGATGGAGGTTACTGAAGAGAAGGCGTATTCAATGATTTTGTTGTCTCTGGCAGATGAGATCATCATCGAGGTTTCTGGTGTTGATATTGCAGCTGATTTGTGGTTGAATTTGGAGAGTCTATACATGACGAAGTCTCTGTCTAAGAAGCTACTTCTGAAACAACGTCTTTTCGCTCTGAGGATGCAGGAAGGTACACAACTTCAGGATCACCTTGATAGTCTAAATTCCATTATGTTAGATCTGAGGAATATAGATGTTATGGTGGAGGATGAGGATGCGGCACTGATTCTGTTGGTATCACTGCCTAACTCCTATGAGAACTTTGTTCAATCATTCATAGAGAGTAAGGAATACAGTGAGTTTGGAGGAAGTCAGGTCGGCACTTCATAGCAGGGAGTTGCGTCACAAGGCATCTAGTTCTGGTACAGATGACCAAGCTTCTGGGTTGTTTGTAGGTGGTGGAAAGAACTTTGGGAAAGACAAAAAGTCGTTTACAAAGGGTCCTAAGCCAACTGATATTTGCCATTATTGCAATGAAAGAGGACATTGGAAGTTTGATTGTCCTAAGAAGAAGAAGCAAGCTGATTCCGCTGCTGTAGCAGAGAATGAAGCTAAGTCTGATGACGATGTTGCTCTAGTTGCTCATGGAAAAACACATTCTAGGGATGTGTGGGTTCTAGACACAGGAGCGTCATATCATATGTGTCCAAGGAGGGAATGGTTCTCAGAGTATGAGGAAATGACTGATAGCAAGATCAAGATGGAGAATGACTTCGTTTCGATGTTGCAGGAATCGGTTCAATAAAACTCAGGGCACATGGTGGTAGAGTGTGTACATTGACCAGAGTTAGACATGTTCCAACTATGTCCAAGAACTTGATCTCAGTTAGTCTTTTGGATAGCAGAGGTTTCAAGTATTCAGGTGGAGATGGAGTTCTGAGTGTCTACAAGGGTTTAGATGTGATTCTGAGAGGTTTCATTCATGGTACTCTGTATTTGCTGGAGGGTTCTACAGTTTCAGCAAATGGTCTGGAACTTTGTTCATCAGAGTTCAATCAGTTTTGTAAGGATGCAACAGCTACAAAGCATCTTACAGTCAGAGATACACCACAGAAAAATGATGTAGCAGATATGAACCAAACTTTGCTAGAGAAAACGAGGTGCATGTTTTCTAATGAAGGTTTGGAAAAGAGGAATGGGGATTTTTACAAACAGGTGGAGCTGCAGGAAGTGCAGTCGGATGAACCGTGTCGATCGATGACAGGTCAACAGTGTCGATCGATGACGGATCAACAGTGTCGATCGATGTTGGATGGTCAGTATCGATCGACGTCAGATGTTCAGTGTCGATCGATATCGGAAGAAGGGATCGAAGGATCGATGTCAGACGAGTCCTCTATTTCTGGAAATCAACGTGTTGGGTCTAATCCAAGGAGAGTTGATGTCAGGACACCAGAGAGATATCACTTTAATGATATGGTGGGTTATGCACTGCAGGTTGCAGAGGAAGTGGATACTTATGAGTCATTCACTTACAGAGAAGTTGTTTCTAGTTCTGAGTCTGAGAAATGGTTTGTTGCAATGGAAGATGAGATAGAATCTCATGAGAAGAATCATACATGGGATCTGGTCACACTATCATCTGAGTACAAGAGGTGTGACAACTATATGGCTAGTTTGGACAATGACAGGAGTCCTTATGACTGTTGTTTTTACATAAGAAAGGTGGAGGATGTTTCGTGTATCTACCTGGTGCTGTATGTAGATGACAAGCTGATAGCTTCGAAGAAGATGTATGATGTTCAGAAGCTGAAAGAGCTGCTGAATTCTGAGTTCGAGATTTTTGGATACCTTAAGGGTACATCTGATGTTGGTCTTGTCTATGGAGACAAGGATCCAAGACTGGTTACAAGCTATTCTGTTTGGTATTATGCAGGAGATGTGGACAGCATGAGATCTATGACTGGTTACATATTTACTTTGGGTGGTTCTGTTGTGAGCTGGAAGGCGACTTTGCAGTCGACGGTGACTTTGTCTACAACTGAGGCAGAGTATATAGCGTTGACAGAAGCTGCTAAGGAGGCAATATGGTTGAGAGGATTGGTTAGTGATCTTGGTCTTCATCATGATCAGGCTACTGTGTTCTGTGATAGCTTGAGTGCTATCTGTTTAGCCAAGGATCAGGTTCATCATGAGAGAACCAAGCATATTGATGTGAGATACCATTTTCTGAGAGATGAGAAGAGGATTGAAGTGAAGAAGGTAGGAACAGCTGATAATCCTGCAGATATGTTCACTAAGCCGGTTCCTCACAGCAAGTTCAAGCATTGTCTTGATTTGCTGAACATCTCAAGCTGTTAATCTGGACCTGAGGGGCATCTGGCTCGCAAGAGCATCTGGCCCAAGTGAGGGGCATCTGGCTCTGAGGAGCGTCTGGTCCGACGGGACATCTGACATCTGAGTTCGACGGAACATCTGAGGCAAAGAGAGAGTCTGGTACATCTGAGCACGAAGAAGTGCATCCTGGTACATCTGATTTTGGAGGATTCAAGTCAAGGTGAAGATTTGTTGAAATATGCCTTGATCTGCGAGCTGACAAATCGATCGATACAGGAGTCACGTATCGGTCGATCTGACCCGACACATATCGGTCGATGCAAGAGTTAATGTATCGGTCGATATGTGTCAAATCCGAGAAATATGGAAAATTTCATTAAAGGCTTTCTTATATATATCTTTAGGGTTTTACCCTAGTCTGTAGACACGAGTTGTACTCTGAAAAACTAGCCTCTACTAATAAAGTACTCTCTTTGCTCGTGGACGTAGCCGTTAGGGGCGAACCACGTTAAATCTCTGTGTCTTTCTTTTCTGTTCATCTATTCTGTTAATCTGTTTCTTCTCACATCTGTCACAACAAAATGAATTAACACAAGCTGTTCCACCACAAGAAGCTGTCCTAACTTTGAAAGCTATTGTCCTCAACGCTTCTCCCATACACATCAGCAAAGTTCTCAATCCCTAGACTTACCAAGCTTTGACCGATCTCACATTTGGTCACAGTTGAAGCACCATTGTTTTTAGCCTTGGTGGCTTTTAATTGCGATCTTGGTGCTAGTCGTAGTGAACCTCCAAAGATTGAGCTCGACTTCAAACGCTGCTTATATCAATAAGGAACACATTCGTTATAGTGAACAGATCTTCCTATGTACTCACACGTGTGCGCTTTGCACGTGTATGTGTGTGGACTCAAAGTCATATGCATAGTTGTAGGGAATAAAACTAACCTTGAAGCTGGATGAAGTGGAGAAGGAAGAAGGAGGGGAAACCAATGTGGATGATCATTGAGAAGAGACGCTAGGGAGGAGGATCCCACGTGAGTAGCATGTGACGCTGGTCTCTATTGTTTATGTGTACTGAAGTTCTGAGGGTTGATCAAAGTAGAAAAAGAAGCAGAGCTCTTTACAGAGGATAATGGTGGAGACAAAAGAGCAAACTTAAGGGGTGTAGGAGAAAGATAAAGTTATCATTTATTGTGTGGTTATGGTCCTTTTAAAAGTTTTTTTTACCATTTTAAGATGATGTTATTGGTTGGGTTGTAAGTAATGACTTTAGCTTTAATTTCTATCTACAACCATTTAAATCACCAATCATGCTTTAAATAATTTTTAAAGCTAAAGTAAAAAAAATAGAAAAGTGATTGTAGGAACCCTATTTTCTAAAGCAAAAAACTATTGCTGTAGGATTGTTGTATGAACATCTTTCCTTTTATATTTTTTTCATTTAATTTCTACAGGTACATTAGATACAACTACATCAAAAACATTTACAATCTAAATTCTACAATAAATTTTTTAAATCTACAGTTCAACCAATCACCCCCGATATCATCTCTCCAATAGAAACACAAAGATCGGTTAGGTCTAATTACGCGATTGATTTTCGTTCGGTTAACAACTGTTACTTCAAAATTTATTTTGCTTTTTTCTAAGAAAAATAAGTTAAAAAATCTGTAAAATTGTATCAGAGCTAGGTTTTGATCCTTGAACCTATGGATTATGGGCCCACCATGCTTCCGCTGCGCCACTCTGATTTATTCATGGTAACTAATATGTTGTATTTAATAAACCACTTAAAGACCGTAGAAATTTTTTGGGAACCCAAGGCTAACTGTACGATACCGTTTATATCAAGACCCGTTTAAGATGTAACATGCCTTTGAATCCTGCTTAAAGGCCCAAAGTATATTTCTTGTTCTCCAAGGATTAAGCCCAAGTATATTTCTTGTTCTCCAAGGATTAAGCGCACAACCTAAAGAATCTAACCTATTTTTCTTCCTTTTATAGCTCGTCTCTTTCTTTCACATGTTCTGAGAGATACCTGAGATGCAATTCATTAAGGCAAGAACTCAAGTGTTCTGCATACATTGATGATTTTCAAA